ATGGAAAGAAGATTCCAATCATGTTGAACAATCTCGAATAAATACACTGAAACGTACCACCAGGACATCATTCTGCTTGAGAGTGTTGGCGAAAATCGTTACCGGTTGGTTATTGATAGTCATAGAGCACTGAAAGGGAGAAAGACATACAAAAAGAAGAAAGAGGAGCTCATATTCATACGCAAGAGAATGGATTGCTCAAACCTGAATAAAGCCCTACATGAGGAGTGGAAGCGAGAAAAAGACATGATTTAGACGAAAGTGTAGGTTAAAACTAGCTGCTTCATATAAATGCTGTGGCATAGGATGGGGAATTCAAGTTTCCCTGTGTGACGCGCATGCGACCAGGCTACTGCTTATGGTGAGTTTTAAATTTCACTTTTGAGTTTCCTAGCAGGAACACTGAGCGAAATGCCCACTTGCCATCGGGTCTAATTAATCCTTGACCCCAGTGACATTAGAGTTAGCACCTCGTATAATTCTGTGGTACCTGTCCTCCATTAAGTGCACAAATCGTGTAGACAGCCATTTCAAACTCAGGTGAGGTGTTGAGCAACATGGAAGTTTGCATAGCCCTCCAGTTATTCCACTCGAATTGCAATGACACTTGAACACCCTGAAAGTAGTCAGTCGGATAAACGGATTCGAAGAGGACTAGAACAAATTTCTGTGCTGAAAGTTCGTGTTAAGGAAGGGGGGATGCGTGTAGAAAAGCGCATTCAGCAGGCGAGGGAGGAGAGGGCGGGAAATCGCCGGTAAGCGTTTTATTTCCTGTGCTGCTTGAATTACATCAGTGGTAATATTAAACCCAGTATGACCGAATTTCGCGATAAGCGGTTGGGGAAATGGGCGTAGATTTGTAGTCTTGCTTTCCTCACTGGTGTACTTACCCTGACACGGTGTGCGCCCCCCCCCCCCCTCCCTCTCTGGCACGACAAGAGACGCGTCAATGAAGAAGACGTAAGTCTCGTGGTCCCCGCCCATGTGGTAAGGGGAGTGTGCCTTTAAGATGACCGCTCACCATGGACTGGTCCTCGCTAGTGTCATGTGAGCTCTTTCACAATGCTTGCTTATGGGGGAAAACCATCCCCATAAGCAAGCAGAACCTTTCCAAAGGACAAATAGGGCACCGAACAAAGGTTTAGTGGCTTTTGAGTGGGAATGGGCACCACCCCGTCAGTGCTTCCCCTTCCCCGGCTACTCGCACATTCGCAGAAGCCACAGTTGTTTTCAACAGAGGTTCCCATTAGTCTTGGTTTTCAAATTGAATTTCACACGAATCATTCAATCACTTTGATTTCCAAAACAGAAGTGAGAAATAACGAAACAAAAAAAAAACATAGCTCACGGGTTGTTTTGTAAACCATCCATGGTAGTTTAGCTGGTTGGAAGCTTCTAGCTCATAGAAACGGAACCAGTTATTGAAGCGAATCACGTCTTTGCCTTTAACTTCTCCAGAGAAAACTGATTCAAATCCTAAAAGTATTCGGAGTAAAATGTAAGAGAGCTTAGGGTTGATCTTGACGAAGCTCAACTATTAGAACAGCTATCGATATCAATACAGAAGGAATAATTCGAGCTCAAGGAAAACAAGCAATTAATGAATGCATCCTTCCTAAAAAGTAGCCTTGTTCGCTGAAGATCAAGAGGCGTGTCAGCAAGGCTGGGTTTGGCGCTCTGCCAGCCCATTCTCCACAAGTGTTGAAGTGGGTTAGCCACAACAACTGGTGGAAAACGACTTATACGAGCGATATGATGCAGTCTTGTCGCCGAAAAATACGAAATGGCGGCGCCGCGCCAGGCCTAGTTACCTTCTCCCCCTTGACACGGCCCCGTTCATCTGAGCGAACAAGAGTATATGTTTTCACGGTCAAAATCGATTGAATCACTATGAATCCCATTCAAATGGGGGAGTCGCAGCAAGAAAAGTTTTAGACGCCTATTATGCATTTTGTCACGAGAATAAAAGTACATGTGAGAATTGGATGCTATTGGTGGGTCGCCGCAATCACCAATCGCGTCATTCCTTGCACTCGTCGCGCACTCATAGTAATGCTCGTAGAATCGCTTCGAGTCTGAGGCAGCGTTCACCTCGGTATACGTTGTGCGATACTGCGCGTTCAAGGCGCATCATCAAGCCTGAACGCTGCCCAGACATTGCAACTGGACGTACCTGAGCTACCAAGTGCACCGTATCTTGCGTATTGAGTAAACCAAAGTGAGCTGAGCAGAATTTTGAACGATTCATTATCCGTTGCGGAACCTAGAACCTGGGCAGTATTGCAACAGTACAATCACAACCTCTAGGGGCATCCCTCGCCTTGCTTTGTAAGGAACTCCTGAGCTTTTCGCATAACTGCCGTGTTCATGACCGTGTCAAGATACGCGTCAATCGCGGACTGCCAGTCGCTCGTGACCACTTCCGGCATGTCCGCGTCGGGTTGATTGTAGAACGACTGGAAAGGGAATTACGGGATTACGGAAGGAAGAAGTGAAGATTGTAAAAATATTGGTCTTAGACAGTATCTCATTCAAACACTTGCGGATCACTGTAACCCAAATCATTGCACGAATCCTGTCTACACCCACTTCAAAACTCACCGCACGTAATTTGACCACATACCAATGGGCACTACCATTTTGGGAGCAGAGTTAAAGATTTATATTTACAATTAGCTGATTGAAGGCTTTATATGTGGCTCCACTGGTTGAATCATGATCGACTGAAGTGAAAAGGTGCTCTTTAGCGTTGTCGCGAGTGAAATCCTTGCGGGATGCCATGTTCTGAAAAATATTGTACAAACATTAATAATATCAGTCTAGAACCAACATTAAGATCATATGACTGTGTTGTATTGTTGTTCTTCTTCTAACTAAATATGGCTGCTATTTCTTAACATGAAACAGGATCAAGTGTCTGGAACCAACTGCATGACAAATGGCATCTCTTGACGATCTGTTCCACAACGATCAGGCAATCGAGGAATAAGTGGGTGGAGACCCATAAACACTGAGCCTTTTTCTGTAGAGCATTCTTGCTCTTCACTGAGGCAGAAGTAGATGAGCATTGATAAAGAAAACACTGTGCTTATGAGTCTCCGCCCATTCGGTTATCAAGGAATGTGTATTCAGTTAAAGAATCGTGCAGGATCTATGCGCTTCTTCCTAATTTACGATCGCCTATGTGATCCCTTTGAGAGCCCGAAAGCTCAACGAGCCGCACCATAAACGCTTAAGTTGGGCTGACCGTGAGTGCTCACCGCGCCGATTCTGTACAGGAATCAACCAGTTGATCATAGAAAGATAGCAGCGAGATTAGCGCGCCCGACAATAACTGCTGTTAGCCATTCTGAGGTCGTAATTGATTTGTAATTAATTTGTTATCACAGTGACGAGGCAGCAAAATGATCTACTCAAATATCAGCTGTTGAAGCAGTACCTGGTAGTTGAACCTTCGCGTGTGCACGACCGGCATCGACCGAAACCAAGGCATTCAGAACGTCTGTCACCTCTTGGTCGGATAGCACGCCTGAAGTGAATTCGTGGAATTTCTTGCTTTCTACTGCACTAACTATTTAAACAGCTCATCATAAAGTTGCACCAATTTGGAGGAAAACCATTGGGGTGTAAAAGTAGGCGAAAAGAGGGAAGGAATATCACCCCGATGAACAATAGTCCTAAGTTGACAGTTCTGCGATGCGCGGGATGTCATAACCTTTGCGCTTTCCTTACTGCCTTACACTTCTCTGCTATTGGAAAAGAAGGAACGGTAAAAATCAACAATCAGAAAATTCGCGTTTGAGACCAGGCTTATCACTCCCTAATTTGTATTGCCCAACAATG